CAAAGGAGTGGACTGCGGCAAGGACCAAGTGAAGCCGAAGCGCTGAAGGACCTGCTGCACCATGTGTGACTGAGTCAGTGTAATGGTGCGCCGTGCTCTGTCCCGGGTGATCTGCAAGCCAAGGTAGCTGCGCAGCTCACCCAGGTTTGTGCACGTGTGTCTCTTCTTCAGCTCCGACTTCACAAGGGCGAGTGCCTTTTTGTCAGCAGTAGCAAAGACCAGGTCGTCGACGTACACGAGGATGTAGAACGACGGCAGCGAAGTGTCGGTGCGCAGAAACAGCGACGGGTCAGCTGTCGAAGGAGCAAACCCAAGAGCCAGAAGTGTCATCCTCATTGTGTCGTGCCTATCACGAGGCGCCTGGCGGAGACCGTAGACCGGCCGCCGGAGGCTCCACTGGGTACTAGGAGGGAACGACCCAGTGAAGCCAGGTGGGCGGCGCAGCCAGATCTCCTCGTGCAGACTGCCCTGTAAGAAAGCTGTGCTGAAGTCCAGAGAGTGAAGCTCGTAGTCACGCTGAGCGGCAACGTGCAGCAGCATCCGAAGAGTGGTCATCTTCGGGATGGGGGAGAAGGTCTGGAAGAAGTCAACTCTCTGTCGCTGACTAAAGCCTCGTGCAACGTAACGAGCCTTGAAGACAGGCGGAGAACCCAGCGGCCGCTTCACCCTGAAAATCCACATACCATCGACGATGTTCGCCCCAGGAAGGGGAACCTCATCGACGTAAGTGACTGTGGACTTCCAGGATGCCATCTCTGTGTCCATGGCTGTCTGCCACTCAGAGGAGTAGGGACCCGAAATCGCCTGTGCATAAGAACGCGGGGTCGGGATGTTTGGTGCATCCGGGTCTCCCTCAGGTGCAAGCAGCCAGGCCACGAGATGAGGTACAGCAGCCGCAAGACACTCAAAGTCCTCCTGCCTGTCCTCAAGGACGTCCGTGCCAAGAGCACACTCACCTCCGACAGACGCGTGACAGTAGGGTGAGCAGCACGAACTAGGTCAGACTCAGGGTCCGGAACGTCAGGCAGAGAGGACGCAGGAGGAGACGGCAGGGGGACACGCTGCGGAGCAGATTAGGGACGAAGTGCCATAGTGTGAGTACCAGGCACAGGAGGAGGACGCGGACGCGGGACTCGACGAGCACGGCGAACAGTGCGAACAGGGGAGGCAGGACGAGACGCAGGCTCACGACGCTTTGTAAGCGAGTAAGTCTGTGCATTGTAAGGAGAAGGAGCAGGTAGTGGGGAGCCTGGCTGTAACGGGAGGCCAGTAGAAGACGGGAGGCTAAGAACCTGGCGAAGCACGGAGTCAGGCGGTGGCAGAGACGACGGTGACGGCGGAGCGAAAAACAGTCGCGGGTATGCAGTGTCACCAGCACCAGAAGCGCCAGCGCCACCAGCGGCTCCAGAACCCCTAGCTCCAGCGCCTCCAGCAGCTCCAGAGCCTCCAGCTCCAGCGCCTCCAGCAGCTCCAGAACCGCCAGCTCCAGCGCCTCCAGCAGCTCCAGAACCTCCAGCTCCAGCGCCTCTAGCAGCTCCAGAACCTCCAGCTCCAGGGCCTCCCGCCTCATTAACCCCAGGCAGCAGCAGCACCCCTAGAACCGGCACCTCCAGCTCCAGGCTCTCCAGCCCCAGTACCTCTAGCAGCAGCACCCCCAGAACCGGCACCTCCAGCTCCAGGGTCTCCAGCCTCAGTACCTCCAGCAGCAGCACCTCCAGAACCGGCACCTCCAGCTCCAGGGGCTCCAGCTCCAGTACCTCCAGCAGCAGCACCCCCAGAACTGGCACCTCCAGCTCCAGAGGCAGGCGACGAAGACGGTCGAGGTGGAAAACCCGGAGGGGTCGCCAAGCGTGGTGAGCGGCGGGGAGGCACCGCGGCGTCAGCAGCAACGTCACCCCCCTCAGCCGGGCCAGAGGTGTCGGAAGTAACCTCGACAGGCTCAGCCAAGGGGAGTGGGTCTACCTGAGACACACCTGAAGGAGCAGGACCCTGATGGGGGAGAGGGTCTACCGGAGGAGGACCTAGAGCGAGGAAAAGCGGCGGGGGAGGGAGAGGGGCAGTGCGGTAGGGGAAGAGACGGTAGAAAGGAACCGACTCGTCAAAGGTGACGTCCTGGGAGGGGAAGACACGGCGCGAGGTGGGGTGGTAAAACTGCCAGCCAGGCGCGTCAGGGACAAAGCCAAGGAAGACACAGGGAATGGTGCGGGAGGAGAGCTTGTCCGCGGACGTATCGCGGACAAGGGCACGAGCACCCCAGACTCGGAAACGCGACGCATCGCCAACCTCTCCCGTCCAACGCAGTGTGGGCGAGGTGTCTGGCAAGGAGACACCGGGCCAGAGGTTGAGCTGATGCGCGGCGTACCGAACCGCAAACGGCCACAGAAAATGGGGAGCCGCCGCATGGACCAAGGAGGTACGAGCGATCTCCATGACCAAGCCAATGCGGCGCTCAGCAACCCCATTTTGCTGCGGTGAGCCCGGAAGCGTGAACGTTTGCTCGATGCCCTCCCCCTGACAGAAGGCTCACAAGAGGTTGGAGGTGAACTCACCACCTCTGTCAGAGTGCAGAAGCAGGACAGGAAGGTCCGTACGGAACCTCCGGCGGAGCTGGAGACGAACTGCTCGGATCCAAGGGATCAGGACAGCAGGGACCTCACCCTTGGTGCGCAAGGGGAAGACCGTGGTGTAACGCCACGACCAAAACCGACCGTCTGATCCCGGCCGTTGAGAAGAAAATTTATCCGACGCTCCAAATTCCAACGTTTTTGGGCGAAATTCTCAGGGCCGTTGAGATTCGAATCGATCGGACGGTCAAAATTCCAACCTTTTCGAAAACCGGTTCGAGGGGGACGTTAAAAAATAGCGCGGAACTGGTTTACGTACCCGAAATCGGCGCCTCTTGTCGTCGCCCCCGCGGTTTAAGTGGTCGAAAAAACTTCGCGAGTAAACAGGCTCTGATTACCAGGTGTGAGGATCTAGGATCGAGCTCAGAAAAGAGAGTTTGAATTGAATGACACATGGGTACAACACGAGGCTATATATAGGCTCGACACAAGGGGCAGTAACCAGGTGTTACGCGAAGGTTCTGGGGGTCGCGAAGCGTCCCGAACAGACCCTTTCCGAATTCGGTAGAAGGCAATTCGGTGGCAACCGAATAGCCCAGAATTCGGTGTACGCAACCTAGCTCGGTGCTATAACTATAATAAAATATAGGAAAGCACCTAGCCTAGGAATTCAAGCAATTCATGCATGCATAAAATAAACCTAAGCTAGAAGTAGCATAATAAAGTAAAGGCAAGCATGCATAGTTGGCATAAGCCGTCGTACTCTCACAGGGTTGGGGCACTGTTTAGGGTAAACCAACCGTGAACAGTAAACTACCCGTAACAGAAAGAAATTCGACAATATAATACACTACAGTTTATCGCGCGGGTGTCGTCAGCCGCTTGCGATCTACCGGTTAGTCGCCTATGTTCACGCTCAACGATGTGGTAACTGGAGTCCTCGTCAACTGTTCATGCTGGGGAAACATTTGGCGAACTGGTTACCCTTCGACAATGATCTATTTGGAAATATATAAAACGGCGGGAAGGCAGGTCGGGCCAGGTCGGGAATTTTCGATTTTGCTCGGGGGAAAAGGGGGTGCTGAGTCGAGGCAGGTCCTAGCGCCTGAGCTGCGTTTTCCCCGAGGTCGACCACCTCTATTTTGGGAAACGAACTTGGGAACATCGGTTGATGAGTGAATACGAGGCACCCCTATCATTTTAAAATTCAGTCGAGTGCTCTGCGAGCGATCTTCCAATGTCTCTGACCCCCTCCCATCGCGGCTCGCGGCGTACCCTACGTCGTCGCGTAGTTGCTAACGTGTTGTAAACATATCGCGATTTCCGTGTTCTCCGGGATGGTGTGTCAGTCGGTCGCCAGGTTGATCGACGGCACTGGTCACGCCATGACGTTAGCCGCTCGTATAAAGGCCCCACCGAATCACGACATCCTGCTATCGCGACTCTTAACCGTCAAGTTTGACAGATCATGCGATCGTCCAGAATGTCAGCGTGCTGCAAACATTCGCTCCATGAATGTCCAGGATGTCAAAGGCAGCGAGACTTGTGGACTGCCGCTCGTGTTGCGGAGACGCGTTGAAAGTGCGATCCGGGTCATCGCTGCGCGCTCCGACCGCTTTTCTTGTGTCTGATCGCAGATATTCGCTCCATTTGAGCTGACCCATAAACAGACTACTAATTTTAGGAGGCCACTCGTCTCGCGATTCGCAGGCACGCCTTGCGTCCCGAGCGCCATTCACGGCGGTTGGAGACCCGCGCCCAGCATCCCCGTGCTTACCACAAGTAACATAACAGATCCCTTTATTGTGATCTTCGCGCAGCGTGCCCATAGCTTCCGCCGATATAGCAGCGGGGTGCGAGAGCGCAGAGGCACGGGATGGCACGAGGAATGGCACGGCGAGGGGCTCCGGGAGCTGCGCGAATGCACGCACGGAAAGGGAGGGGTTTGCGGCGGACGCGATCATCGTTCTGGCGGGCGGTCTGAAATGCGACGGCATCGTTCCAGGTGCGTTGCTGATGCGCTGTGATTATTTTAGGTGCGCTGTCGCGCTTCGTCGCCTCTTGCACCTCGACAACGCTTATACAGTCTTCCCATGATAATCCTTATGCACCCACTCTTCATTCCCATCTCGCCTTCCCCTTTTCCCACTCACCATTTCCACTTCTCGTCCCTTCCCCCTCCCTGTCTCCTTCCCGCTCCCCTCCCCCTTCCCCATCATCCCCCTCTCCTCGCAGAGCAGAGTGGGTGGCGCAGTGCCTAGATGCAGCAGCGGAGCTTCACCGCGCCATGAACGGGGGGAAGGGGAAGGACAGTCAGCATTTCCCTTCCCCTTCCCTTGTCACGTCTTCCCTCCCTCCCCTCCCTTCCCCTCCCCACTCCCCACCTTCCCCTCTCCCCGTAGAGCAGAGTGCGAAACATTCACTCCAACCACTAAGTTATGCATCGTCATCAAAAATCTCCTCAATCTTGTCATCCTTTGCAAATGTTTTCTTGGCGCGCGGACGCGAAGTCTCGCATTTCCGGGCTTTGGCGAGATCCTCGCCGCACTCCACAAACATCCCATCTCCCTTCATCTTTGCGGCTGCCTCGGGATCGTAACACCATGTCCTCACGACATCGACCATCTCGTAAATGAGGGGTCCGATACTCTTGTTGCCCGCTCCCTCGAAACTATCCAGCACATGCTTCTTGACGGCCTCTGCATCGTGGCTCTTTTTCACAGCCACGCGAAAGTACTTCCACGCTGCTACAATGATTGTGACGTTCAGGTCGGGTGCTCCAGCCTTCTTTGCAGCCCGTTTCGCTCCCGTGTCAGCGATGGCGCGATCACGACCCTTGGAAACCAGCCACAGGTACGTGACCACAAACGCCATGGCACCCGCAAGAGCACCCTCCGGAACCTTCGATTTCGCGTAATGTGTGTCCACAGCCACCTCTAGCCCCAGCGCAACTGAGGCTGCCAGCTCGTCAATCAGGTTATCTGGTCCATCTTTCGCGTTCCTGAAGTGTGAAAACATGCTTTTGATCCTGCAATAAAGTTTGGCAGCAAGCAAATAGTCCACACGGAAGCGCGAAACTCGAGAACTAACCCGCAAAACCCACCTACTACCCCCGGTGCAGATGCCGCGAAGGAACATTACAACGAACACTCCGAGATGCAGAAGTCGTGCAACATCCAAGTCCGTGGTCCACTTCTCCTCTTCCTCGTCCGACAAAACCATCTTGTCGCTCGGAACCTTCTTATGCCACATGGTCTGTACTATCGCGGCCGTATATCGCGCGGTTGCGAGAGCAAAGAAGCTGCCAAAGTACCACCGCAAGTTCAGATAGTGCAACTCCAGCATCCAAACTGTGCCTTTCGCGTTTACCCTTATACCAACCCCAAGCTCCTTTTCCTTTGCGGCTACCTTCTCCTTCTCGGCCACCTTTGCAACCCCCTTCCCACCCCGCAGTTTTGCAAGCAACGCCTGGGTCGCCTTTGTGGGTTCAACCTCGTCCGGATCCTCGACCTCCGCTCCACCCAAGAGAAGCACGACCAAATTCTGACCAGCCGCGGTTCCAGCCAACGGTGCTCCACCCTTACTAGACGTGTACTGCGATGACCCGTGCTGTAATTCCACATCAGCTTTCAGAAGTGCCCACCACATTTCCGATTGCTGGCGGACGGGTGATAGCTGGGTCGAAATTCAACTTCGCTTTTTTCGGGGGTGGTGTGGCTTCATTTGCTGCAGGAACGACCGCGCTTCGCTTCGCGCCCCTTTCATCTGCTGCTGCCGTTTCCGCGGATTCCTTATCCAAGCGTCAGCCTTGACCCGAAACGAGCAAGCCGGATCCTTCCCTTTCAGCCGCGATTGCCATTAGGGTCTCCACAACCCTAACGTTCCCAGAAAAATCCATACCGGTTGCCGCCGACGAAAAAAACCCGCGTTGCAAAACCAGCGACAGGAGGGCATAAGCCGCCTAAGCCAACTTCGACAACGTACGCTCCGACGACTCGCGCTGTGCAGTCCAAGATGGACGTTTAGCCCGCACCTCGTGCACTGCATCCGCGAGATCTTAGCCAGCACGTCTCTCCATGTCTTCCAACCTGCGAAAACCTCAAGCACATTTGTCGGTAACTTCTGACAACACGACATTCTGTTCTTCCATCTTCATCAGAAGTTTGCGGATTTTCTTTTGCTGAACAAAAAGGTCGTATTGCGTGTCAGCCAAGTCCTGCTGCGATTTCTTGAGAGCAGAATCGAGACGGTCAGCCTCGTGCGCGAGCATGCATACATGCCATGTTACTAGCTCGTCCACCGACTGCCGTTTTGCGATCGCACGCTTAGACTGCAGAGCAAGCTGCGTCGTCGCCGCCAATCCGCGATTCCCAGATCCACGAAAGTGCGGAGCCTGATGTTCAACGCCAACCGCGCCCCCAGATTTTGTGTTGCCGGCTGCACACCTGTGGCCTTCGGCCTGTCTGACTGCACCACGATGAGCTCCCTCAGCCTCGCCTCCGCCCTCGCCTCCGTCCTCGCCTTCGCCCTCCCCCTCGCCTCCGCCCTCCCCCTCGCCGTCCCACTCGCCCACCCCACACCCACCCTCCTCGCCCTCCCCCTTGCCGTCCCACTCGCCCACCCCACACCCGCCCTCCTCGCCCTCCCACTCATCTTCGCCCTCATTTTCGCCCTTGTTTTCTCCCTCATCCTCACCATCGCCCTCTGCCCCGCGTTTGCAATCGCCCACGCCCTTGTCGTCGTCCGCGCCCTCGTCCTTGCCCTCGCGGTTTATTCTCGCCCTCCTCCTCGCCATCGGCCTCACCCTCGCCTTTGCCCTCGCCCTTTTTCGCGCTCTTGCCCTCGCCCTTTTTCGCGCTCTTGCCCTCGCCCTTGCCCGGTTCGCGGCTCGCGCAACCCCAGCTCGTTTTTTGTGCGACCTCCGCTACCGCACCGTGGCCACGTGTGTCGACAGCTTCGTTGTTCACTTGGAGATTTCGCAATAGCTTCAAATTTCGAGAGGACGCGCGAAAATCCGTACACAGCCTGTATTCTTCATTGTCCAAGGAGTTGAGATCCTGCACGCGACCGTCGTAAACAAGGGCGTAATTAGAATGCAGTAGTCATTGGTGTGGCGTAAACTTAAGGGCGCGAACGTACCATATTCTCGCGCCTCAAGCACCGCACGCGTTCATTCGCAAATTCAAGGCTCGGCTCGTCGTCGGTCTCCTTGAATTTCTCTATGCTTCTCTTGAACCATCTGCAAGCACAACCACAGACGTGGAGTTAGTCCGCGAAAGTAATGTAAACCATATCGTTGCTACAACTCCGTGAATCTTACACTTTGATATTCGTTGCCTGCACCCCCTGCGGTTTCGGGCCAACACATGGGTCGATGTGGATGATTCGAGTGTTGGATTACTCGTTCCTTTTGTACTGTAGCTGATTGGGCTGCAAAATAACGAGGATGCTGCAAAACGTTAAGCCGTTTTCGGCGCTGCACAAGGAACAAAAAATGGGAGTTAGGTGGAGACAAGAGCATAAAAACGACGAGATCCTTGTTTAGCATGTTCGAGATTTCTGCGTTCGGGGTCATGTGCTGTGCAATCCGTAGCCAACAAACGGGCCTGCTCCAACGATATGACAATTCGTGTAGACTACGCGCGGTCGCTGTCGTGTTTGGCCAACACGAACCTGCATGATTCACACATATGAACATCCATTAGCAACGCGAACAATGTAGCTCCCTCACATATCAACGTAAAACCCTAAATGCGGTCGAAGCACTAGGTCGTCAACAAATACGTACATGCATGCGAAATCCAGTGCTGCGGCGGTATATTCAAGGGTATCATCCATAAGAGTCTGCTTGTCCTTTTCCACCAGCACAACGGTCGCTCCGCCCGCTTCCATGGCGACGTCGACTTTCTTGAGGCTCAGCAGGCGGTCGAAAAGTGTCCGCCTTTCACGTGACATCTTGTGTCAAATCGGAACTAGCGAACGCGAAACCACGACAGTTGTGATTGTCCTTCCAGCGACCCGAAAAAACCGCGTTACCTGTGACGCTCTCAGGCACTCACAACAAGACCGCGAAATCTCTCCTAAAACCCCAAGTACCTCGAAAAGGGCTGACAGAAAGTACATTGCCGCGATTTAAACAGTACATAAAAACTGCGAAACATAGTCCGCTGATTCTGATGATGTGCTATCCGCTATTCGCGAGTTGAGATTGCTGACATTAAACAGCAAGAGAGTAGGTGCCGTGAAATCAAAGCTACTACTACACCAACAACAACAATCGCAGCCACAAAAGCGCCAACGACTACAAGAGCTGTTCCGCAAAATTCATGCAGCTGCTAACATTGACACTGAACTTCACAGCAAAACATCCACTAAAACACCAGCGACGATCCCACTCTCCTATTAAGCACCCCTCCCTTCTACCCCTATTCCCGAATCCCCTCATCCCCCCTCCCTTCACCCCGTCCCATCTCTCACCTAGAAGAAGCCTTGCTTGAAGTGAAGGAGAGATGCGAAACTGGAGAAGAAACCGAAATGCGAATGTAATGAAAAATGACGACAAGCAACCCCATATAACCGATTCTGCACGCACCCTCCACGGCGAGAAGCCATAGGTTTGGAACCATGCGAACCAATATTTTCGGGCCAGTAATGTACCTGAACCGTACGAGAGCCTCGGTTTCGACTGGCGTCCTCGCAGCAGGGTCCACCTTTTTTTTTTTTTTTTTTTTTTTTTTTTTTTTCGCGTGCACCGTTAGTGTTGTTTGATCTTTGTTCGAATTTTTGTCACATGTTATTTCGTAAGTCGATAACTCGCTGTTTGTGCAGGCGTACCGAAATTGTCGCACGCGCGCCATACGGCCGGTCATGCGACTTCGCAGAGGGATCTAGCGATCGTTACACGTTCGGGCCCGTGCTGAGTCAGCCGGGCTGGGCCGGGTCAGTTGGTCGAGTCATGTGGTCCCAATGAAGGTGCGTCACTCGGGTGGGTGGTGCGTCATCGGTGGTCCCTGACGGGCAGCTGTGGCCTCGGCGTCTCGGGCTGGCCCAGAAATGGCCAAGGTGTTTCGAGGGTGCTTGTGTATTGGTGCGATAGTTATGTGTTTATGGGGTTTAACAAGGTTACTAGAGCTTCGTAGCAGAAGTTTGCCTAAACTGGTGGTTTTTCAAGATAGAATGTTGCTCTGTATAGAAAGCGCCCCTGGATTTTGAACTAGATGCTCAGCACTAAAAATGACTTGATGGTTTCGATTACATTCCTCAGAAGATGAGAAGTAAACTCTACCGTGTTACGTTTGGGCAGACAAGGACAAGGAGACGTTGGCACTTGCACGGCCGTTGTGTATCGTCGAACTGCTCGTCATGGTCGAGGCAGTAGAACCACCACATGGCAAGGTCCTGTGCCACGATGTCTCGCCCAGGGTCTTTAAGAGCCTCCAAAAAACTTCTGCAAGAGTGGTGCATCTTCTCCGGATTGTCTCTGTTGTACTTGTCGACCTGAGATGTTAGGACAGAGAGAATAATGAGCTCTGCCACGCGCTACAAGATTAGAATAAGCTAAAATCCGTCTAATGAAGGGATACCTTTGCCAAATCAGATTCGAGGCGCGGGAAGATGTACTTCTTGAAAAGCTCTTGCAACTCTTTCCACTCCTCAGGGTCATCAAGGGCGGCGTGCACTCTGCCAACGTAGTCATCTCCGGGTTCCTTGTCAGTGATAACGGACTGGAATGATGAACTAACAAGGATTGTGAGTACAAATATGAGATGGTCCAGACCCCCACCCGACCCGGGTGGATCCGGTTCCTACCCGGGATGGTCCGGACCCCTACCCGACCCGGGTGGGGATCCGGTTCCCACCCGGGATGGTCCGGACCCCCACCCGAACCGGGTGGATCCGGTTCCCTCCCCTTTTGGATGGTCCGGACCCCAACCCGACCCGGGTGGATCCGGTCCCCACCCGAGATGGTCCGGACCCCAACCCGACCCGGGTGGATCCGGATCCTAATAGGGTTCTTTCGGTTGCCCCGAATGACGGTAACCCAACGTAATCGGAGTGATTGGCCCTGGTTTTATGGCATGTTGTGACCCCCCTATAGGCTAACCCACTACAGCCTACACAAATACAACATGTATAATGTTTGACACACCCCCATAGGCAAAGTGGGGGAGACCTAGGGGTCACAAGACCAGTCAAGGCAAAGCAAGGCAACAACAAGCTCAGGGTGGATCTCAAGGATTCCACACAAATTCTGAGCACAAGCTAGTGGTCACATGCAGGTTTATAACAGAGCAAGAGATACAGTGATCACAACCTAGCAAGAGTAAACATGCAGGTATAGATATATATAGTGATCACAGTACAAGCAAAGTCAAGAGGTAAGTAAGTGAGGTCCAGTAGGCACAAGGCCTAGTAGAGTGCAGAAGCGCTGATGGTCACGAGGCTGAAGCGCCTTGGTGAATACATCAGCAGTGTTGGCCTCAGTGGCCACGTAGCGAATACAAAGCTGACCGCGCTGCTGCAGCTCACGAGCAAGGAAGTACCGCAGGGCGATGTGCTTCGTTCTGTGCTCCAGTCTGTGCTCCTCACACAAGGCAATGGCAGCCTTGTTGTCGACGTACAGTACTGGAGGAGAACGAGGCCGCTCTCCGAGGTCGGTCAGCAGGTAGGTCAGCCAGCGTAGCTCCTGGGCAGCCATGGCTGTAGCGTAGATCTCAGCCTCGCAACTGGAGCCGAGAACAGAAGAAGAGCGTGTAGAGCGCCAAGAAACTGAGCCAGAGCCAAGGCTGAAGGTGTAACCCTGAGACGACCGCTGAGTGGCCTGGTCGTCTGCCCAAGAAGCGTCTGAGTGCCCTGTGAGAACAACTCGGTCTCGCCCTCCAAGCACAAGCCCCATGCCCGACGTACTGCACAAGTAGCGCAACACCCTCTTAGCGGCATCCATGTGCTCCTTCCTGTGACGGCCAGGAGCGACATAGCGTGCAAGGATGCTAAGAGGGTATGCAAGGTCAGGTCGAGTGCAGGTCATCAGGTACATGAGGCAGCCCACAAGCTCTGGATACGGGCCACTCGGCTCTACGGACTCATCCGAAGGCAGAGCTGAGAGCGAGTGACCGGTAGGCAGAGGAGTGGACTGAGGCGAGGAGTACGTGAAGCCGAAGCGCTGGAGAACCTGCTGCACCATGTGTGACTGAGTCAGGGTGATGGTGCGCCGTGCTCTGTCTCGGGTGATCCGCAAGCCAAGATAGCTTGTCAGCTCACCCAGGTCTGTGCACGTGTGTCTCCTCTGCAGCTCCGACTTCACGTAGGCGAGTCCGGCAGTGTCAGCAGTGGCAAAGACCAAGTCGTCGACGTACACGAGGATGTAGAACGGCGGCAGTGAAGTGTCGGTGCGCAGGAACAGCGACGGGTCAGCTGTAGAAGGCGCGAACCCAAGAGCCGCAAGTGTAGTCCTCAGTGTGTCGTGCCACTCACGCGGAGCCTGGCGGAGACCGTAGACCGGCCGCTGAAGCCTCCACTGGGTACCAGGAGGAAACGACCCAGTGAAGCCAGGTGGGCGGCGCAGCCAGATCTCCTCGTGCAGGCTGCCCTGCAAGAAAGCAGTGCTGAAGTCAAGTGAGTGAAGCTCGTAGTCGCGGTGAGCGGCTATGTGCAGCAGCACCTGAAGAGTAGTCATCTTCGGGGTGGGGGAGAAGGTCTGGAAGAAGTCAACTCCCTCTCGCTGACTGAAGCCTCGAGCCACGTAACGCGCCTTGAAGACAGGCGGAGAACCCGGCGGCCGCTTCACCCTGAAAA